TCAGGTCATGTGAAGATGGAGATAAAGGCAGAGATCAGAGGGATGCAGCCCTAAGTCAAAGAATGCCTGGAGCCACCAGGGAATGAAAGGGGCAAGGAAGAATTCTCCCTCACAACTTTCATTTTCTCTTTATTTATTTTTAATTGACAAATAATTGTGTGTGCTTATAGGGTACAATATGAGGTTTTGATCTATGCGTACATCGTAGAAAGAGTCAATCAAACCAATTTACATATCTATCACTTCACTAATTGATCATAGATGTCTCACCCTAGAGCTTTTTCAATTTCAGATTTCTGGCTTCCAGAAGTGAGAAGAAATAAACTTCTGTTGTTTTAAGCCACCAAATTTGTGGTAATTTGTCATAGCAGCCCTGAGAAATTAACACATGGAGTTTTGCTGTAAGATGGCTAGTTTTCTTTCTTCTCTAAAAGTGTTACCTTTTACATTTTAGTACAATATTTAACTCTCTCTTTATGAGAAATGTGTGAAAGTCAAAAAGTAAGAACCCCAAAAGATCTCAGTCTGTGGACACAATTAGGATCCAGATAGTGATTGGTGTCAATCCAAACTTGAGTTTGGGATAGAGCAAAGCTGACCTCATTATCTCTCTGACTGACCTCATTATTCCAGAGCTCTAAGCCCATAACGGAACTGGTCATAGACTCAATACCCTGTTCTCAACAGTCTTTGCCCTGACCCTGCAAACAAAGATGCCAGAGTTGACACCATATAATATTCTACATTATATAAGCCCAGGGAATGTTAACCAGGAAAGCAAGATGAAGAGGAGTTCAATGGACTTTGGAGACAAACCTGCTCCTTTGGGAGTGGCTATCCTAGCTCACGGGGCCTTGCTGCCTAAGGAAGGAATTCACATGCCTCCCATGGGAGACCAGGGTATTTATAGACCATAGGGGAGAGGAAGGATGGAGGCTCATGGGAGACGTCATAGAGGATGTGCAGAGGAAATGAAATCGCTCTGAAAGACAAACAGGAGGAACAAGACCTATGTGGCAATGGGAGAGGATCAGAAGGAATTAAGCAGGATGTAGGGAAAAGGGGGCAACTCTGGGGAGCTGGGCTGAGCTGAGGGCAGGAACACAGGAGCAGTTCTTCACCTTGTCGGAGAATCTCCTTTAGGACTTATTCAACTAATAAACCGTGAACCCTTCAAAGACATTTGAAATATAGCTGATTACCTGAATTCCATTGACATAACATTTTTCAGGAACTTGGTTGTTGTGTCAAGGAAGGAATATCTGCAGGAACCTCTGGTGTTACTTAAATATATCATATGATCTGAGATGGTAAGTAGTTTGCAAAGAAGTTGGAAGAAACAGAGAAATGGAATAAGCATTTCTCGGACAGTTGGTGTCCAGGTAGTGATTGGTGTCAATCCAAACTTGAGTTTGGGATAGAACAAAGCTGACCTCATCGTCTCTCTGACGTTGACCTCATTATCCCAGAGCTCTGAGCCCATAACGGAACTGGTCATAGACTCAATATCCTGTCCTCAACAGTCTTTGGGAGAGGCAGTGGCTGAAAGGTGCCCCATGGAAGGAATTAGCATGCAGGGACAGGCATATAGTATGAAGCACTTGAGATGTGAATAGAGATAATGTGGTTATGCAAATGTGATACCTTGTGATGGTTAGTATTTGACTCAGTGTGCTTGGGAAGTGGGCAAGTGTGAAAGACACGATCTCGGTCTGTGGCCAGGCTTAGGATCTAGCTGGTGATCAGAATTAGGAAGCATTGGACCTGAAGGCAAGAATCATACTGTTAGCTGAAGAAGAAACCCTTGCAAAGTCCAACAAAGAGATTATTCCCTCAAAATGATCATTAGGGCCTTTGATTTGCAGAATAAGTTCCAGGATAAATTTTACATAATTCACATCATGTCCTCTGATTTAAATGGTTTCACACCCAGAATGGGAGAGTGAATCCATGAATATGGCTTAAGCATCTTCTCCTCTATGGTGAGCATTGTGCTGGCTGCTCTGGTGGTTACAGGTGAGTTAGGAAGCTCAACTCTAGTATCAGAAAGACAAATAGTCATGAGAAAGTGAAATTCATGTTCTCTGGTGGTGGTGAACTGAGCAAAGATGATTTGTCAGGGAGCTAGTTAGTGAGGCATCAACTAGCAGCAGGCCTGTGCTTTTTTTCCCCCCAAGTTCCTGTTAAGTAGCTTCAGAGGGTAAGCTTTGAAGCTCTTCTTAAATAGTTTTCCCCAATGTTGCTGCTACTGAACTTCTTTTGCTCATTAATTTAGCTTATATCTCAGGGAACAAATTAGATGAGCTACGTTGGGAAGACTCATTCTGAGATACTCCAGAAGGGCTGGCTCGTGGAATGAGAATCTCGTGCCTAACCACAGTCATTTTGTTGTGCATTTGCAGCCAGCTAAGGGACTGCTTGGCCAGTGAGCATTATTTCTATGCTGAGGAGACACAGAGGAAAAAACAGGAGATGGGGGTTAGTTGAACCTAGGCTGCATCTTGACTTTGCCACCAGCTTTCTGCGTAGCTTTGGGTATGTCACTTTTCCTTTCTGGACCTCAGTTTCTCCATCTGCCTCATGAGGAGGTTGGCTCTCTTGCTGTATGAAATCTGTCTGATTGCTGACCAGATTCATCGTTCTTCAGCTGTCCTCTCCCCACTCAATTTTTTTCATTACTCCAGTAAAAACAATCACTATACAATAAGGGGAGAGAAGATGGTCGCATCTTTGGGTATATCTGTTAGCTGTTGGAGTTGACCCATCTAAGAACCTATTGGACAAGTTGTGATGATTTTGCCCAAATAAAGACACTTGATATAGATCATAAACCTAGAGTGATTATTAATATGAATATACAATTCCCTCTTTCATTCAATAAACATTTATTGAATATTTACTTTGGGCAACAGCACTGCTGGTGAGAATATGAAAATGAATAAGACATAGTGTTACTATCTCATATTAGTCAGAGCTATACACAAATACCCACAGGAATATGTAACATTTACAAAATGCTTCCCTTACTATAAGAAGCAAACACTGTGCCAAGTACTTTATAGAGCTAAGTGCTAGCCCTTGGTCAGATGTGGCTCCTAAGTCTCAGAAATGTTAATAATTTGCTCAAAGTTACCTGTGTAGTAAGAGATGGAGCTGCCTTATTCCAGAACCCATGGGCTTAACCATTATGTGCTTCATAGACAGTATGAGTTAGGTGCTAGAAGTTTGAATAAAGTGATAGGTGGACCCAAAAAATGAGAGACTGCTTCATGATGTTCAGCGTGTGGGAAGAGTGTGGGCTTTGAGGTTAGGCAGTGATATGGTTTGGTTCTGTGTCCCACCCATATCTCATCTTGAATTGTAGCCCCCACAGGTTGAGGGAGGGACCTGGTGGGAGGTGATCTGATCATGGGGTGGTTTCCCCCATGCTGTTCTCACGGTAGTCATTGAGTTCTCATGAGATCTGATAATTTAAAGGTGTCTGGCAGTTCCCCCGCCCCCCCCTTCTGCTGCCATGTAAGATGTGCCTTGCTTCCCCTTTGCCTTCCACCATGATTGTAAGTCTCCTGAGGTCTCCCCAGCCATATGGAACTGTGAGTCAATTAAAACTCTTTTCTTTATAAATTACCCAGTCTCATGAGAACTCTACCCCGATGATCCAGTCACCTCCCACCAGGCACCACCTCCAACACTGATGGTTATAATTCTACGTGGGATTTGGTGGGGACACAGATCTAAACCATATCAGAGCCCTTTCTTCCTGATCAGTTTCAGAAGTCCAGAGGACAGATCCAAAGGCTAGGGGAGAGGCAGGTCAGGAAGAGGAGAAAATTAACATCGAATGAGCAACTACTGTGGGCTGGGGACTGTGCTAAGTACTTTACATACATTTTCCAAATTAATCTCCCAACCATAATATCTTAGTCCATTCCTGCTGCTATATAACAGAATACTTGAGACTGGGTAATTATAAATAATAGAAATCTATTTCTGGAGGCTGGCAAGTCTGAGATCAAGGTGCTGGCAGTTTCTGTGTCTGGTGAGGGCCCAGTCTCTGCTTACTAGATGGTGCCTTGAATGTTGCTTCCTCTGGAGGGTCTGAACCCTGTGTCCTCATATGTCAGAAGGGACAAAGGGAACTAGGGTGCCCCTTCCAACTTCTTTTATAAGAGCACTAATTCATTCATGAGGGTGGAGCCCTCATGATTTAAGCAATCTCAAAAGGCCCTTCCTCTTAATACATAACCTTGGGCTTTTAGTTTCAACATATGAATTTTGCAGGGACATATACATTCAAACCTTAGCACATAAAAATTAGTTATTATTATTATCCTCATTTAACAGAGGAAAAAAAGCCTCAGAGAAGCTAAATAACTTGCCTAAGGTCACACAGCTAAGGAATGGGGTTGAGGGGCAGGATTTGAATTCAGTTATGTGAAACTCCAAAAGCTGAATTCTTTTTAATGCCTTACACTATTTGCTTAAACCCAGAGGGGAGGTGAATGAGTCAACTGAGCAGCAGTGGCTGGTGGTGACATAGGACAACAGCAGAACGGAATAGCATGTGAACAGCTATGATGAGGGGAGCAAGTCACACTTTGAACTCACATAATCTCATTCTGTCCCCAAGAATACACTGAGTCCTACCCTTGCCCCGAGAATTGTCCCTTATTTTGACTGGAAGCTGAGTCTTGCTGCTGACTACAGGTCCTGAGCCCTGAATACAGCAATGCCTCCAGCAACTTCGCAGCTACTTGCTGCCTCAGGGCAGGAGAGTGTGGCCAATTTCATGTACCCCCTTCGCACCTCCAGAGAAATACATAAAAACAGTGGTCCCAACATTTTTGGCATCGGGGGCTGGTTTTTTGAAAGACAACTTTTCCTTGGACCAGGGTTGGGAGGGATGGCTTCAGGATGACTCAAGCGCATTATATTTATTGTGCACTTTATTTCTATTATTATTACATTGTAATATACAATGAAATAATGCTACAACTCACCATAACGTAGAATCAGTGGGAGTCCTGAACTTGTTCTCCTGCAACCAGAGGGTCCCATCTGGGGTGATGAGAGACAGTGACAGATCATCAGGCATTAGATTGTCATAAAGAGTGTACAAACTAGATACCTTACATGTGCTGTTTACAATGGGATTCATGCTCCTATGAGAATGTAACGCCACTGCTGATCTGACAGAAGGTGAAGCTCAGGCAGTAATGGGAGCAATGGAAAGCGGCTGTAAATACAAATGATGCTTCACTGGCCTGTCTGCTGCTTACCTCCTACTGTGAGGCCACAGAGCTGCAGTGGTCCATGGCCCAGGGGTTGGGGACCGGTGCCTTAAAAAGTTTATTCTGCTGATGTTCATTCAATAGTATCATCAGCCTGAACAAACGACAGCACAGAGTTAGGCCAACAGTTACTTATTTATCTGACAGGCAGTTATGAAATACTAATTGTGTGCCAGGCACTGTGCTAGGTGCTATCAGAGGAGTGACCTTGAAGTCTGGCAAATAGACACAGATATGAAAACTGGTCATTTCAATCTAATATTGAAATATATGAGAGCCTACAAGGGGTTCAGAGTGGGCAATCAGAGCTGCATTCCTTGACTCATGGGCCTGGACCACTGAATGGATACGGTGGTTGTGGGTCTTCTTGCAGAATTACGACAGGCCCATAGAGCACAGCATGTGGACGCAAGAGTGCTCCCAATGCACGGTGAGAGCATCTACCAATGAATGACACAGCCATAGCTGGTATGGAGAGGGCAAAGTTGCTGTAGGCAAGAGTGGCCTGAGAAAGAAAGATGAAATCTTGTATCTGGGACTACAAAAACAGATGCGGCCAGGCATGGTGACTCACACTTGTAATCCCAGCACTTTGGGAGGCTGAGATGGGAGGATTGCTTGAGACCAGGAGTTTAAGGCCAGCCTGAGAAACATAGTGAGACTCAATCTCTACAAAAAATAAAAATAAATTTAAAAATTAGCTTGGTATGATGATGCATCCCTGTAGTCCCAGCAGCTTGGGAGGCTGAGGTGGGAGGATCACTTGAGCCTAGGAGTTTGAGCCTGCATTGAGCCATGATGGCATGATTGCACTTCAGCCTAGAGTAAGAGAGCAAGACTCTACCGCTAAAGAAAAACAATGAATGTAATTTGGATAAAGACAAATTGGATTAAAAAATGATTCTCCCAAGTGTCAGATCTTTAAATCTTACTATAAATGCATACCTTCAGCTTGGCTTGAATTTCTATTGGTTTGCTTTTATGTTTTTTGTTTGTTTGTTTTTTGAGATGGAGTCTCACTCTGTCACCTAGGCTGGAGTGCAGTGGCACCATCTTGGCTCACTGCAACTTTCGCTTCCCTGGGTTCAAGTGATTCTTCTGCCTCAGCCTCCCGAGTAGCTGGGACTACAGGCTCACACCACTACTTCCAGCTAATTTTTGTATTTTTAGTAGAGACAGGGTTTCACCATATTGCCAGGCTGGTCTTGAATTCCTGATCTTGTGATCCACCTGACTCAGCCTCCCAAAGTGCTGGGATTACAGGCATGTGCCACTGCACCTGGCCCGGTTTGCTTTTATGTTTTTTCCCCTCACCTTGGACATTTTGAAGACTAGGTAAGGTGGGAAAATGTACTATAGAAAAAAGAAGAATGAATGAGTGTTCTAACTAATAGAACTTTCTGCAATGATTGAAGATTCTATTCTGTGCTGTTCAATACAGTAGCCACATATGGGTGCTGAGCAATTGAAGTGTGGCCAGTGCAACTGAGGAACTGAATTTTAAACTTCATTGGAAATGTGGTGAGTAGCTGTTGTATTGGAAAGCACTGCGTGTTCCAGCCTCTTAGCAATATCCCATACACACCCTAGTAAAGGTACAATTAAATATGAAGGCTTCTATTAGCCTAGTTATGGGGACACTTATTTGGGTGTGCATGGGCTTGCCCAATCAAGAGTTGGAGCAACCAAGGTTCCTAAAAACCACGCTGCAAGAGCTTATTCTTAATTTGCATGGTACCTTCAGGCACATGATCTCACTTAATCCCGTAACAACTTTGAACTGGGTAGAGAAGAGATTATCACCTCCGTGAACCTTAGTAAATTTAGGTGATGATGGCAAGGCCCTACAGCAAATCAGGGTGGAGACTAGAAGCCAGGTGTTTCTCCTGGTTAAAAAACTCTTCTTCCTTTTTTTTTTTTTTTTTTTTTTTTTTTTGAGACGGAGTCACACTGTCGCCCAGGCTGCAGTGCAGTGGTGCAATCTTGGCTCACTGCAATCTCCATCTCCCTGGTTCAAGAGATTCTCCTGACTCAGCCTCCCAAGTAGCTGAAATTAAAGGCACCTGCCACCACGCCTGGCTAATTTTTGTATATTTAGTAGAGACAGGGTTTCACCATGTTGGCCAGGCAGGTCCCGAACTCCTGACCTCAGATGATCCATCTGCCTTAGCCTCCCAAAGTGCTGGGATTACAGGCCTGAGCCACTGTGCCCAGCCTAGAAAACTCTTTCCAGGGGAATAGCTAAGGGAGAATGGTTTCCTGCTACTCGTGCCTGCTACTCATATCCTGGGTCTCGAGGATGAAGAGAGGTGGCGTGCTTCACATGCCTTTTTTTACTTGAGTGTGGCTAATGGGCCATAGACTATTGAGAACCGTATCTTATTCCCTTCCTGCTACCTTGATTTAGGCAGTAAAGATGTTTTTGAAATTTTCATTCAAATATTCAAAATTATGTACTGAGTACAAGTCATGTCGCAGGCACTGTTCTAGCTAGGTCTGGGGTCACATCTGTGAAGAAAGCAAAGATCTCTCCCTTGTGGAGGTAACCCTTCTGATAGAGAGAGACTGATAATAAATACATTGTGTGTGTGTGTGTGTATATATATATATATATGATTTTTGTAACATTTAAAAAATATTTTAAATATGCTGTGGTCTCTCATGTCTTTTATGGCACATATGCACCCTGTCCAATATCTCCAATATCTCTTTTGTGTAAATCTGGACTTACATTTCAAGCAAACCGCCTGGCTTGCTGAAAGGTGGAGATACCTTTGGATTCAGTCTTTTGATATGTGTTGAGTGCCACCTATGTGCAGAGCAAGATATTGGGGACTTTGGAATGAGATCCAGAAGAATGAGAAGACAGTATCCCATCTTAGGGAGTTTCCAGGCCAACCCAGGAGGCAGTCCCATGCCTTGGGAGCTCCCAAGCTGTAGAAGGAGCTAGCAGCCTAGTCTGGAAAGGCAAACAACTTCAGGACCCGCTTCTAAAGGGGAATCTCAAGTACACGCACAATGAATTCAGCCTTGACTGTGTGCAGTTGGGTAAACCACTTGTCTCTAACGATGACGACAGGGAACCAGAATGGGGACAGCTCCAGGGAACAAGAAAGGGGACACCATAGGAGCTGTCGCATGTCTCAACAGTGAGGAGGGGCTGAGGGGCAGCCCCTGCTGGATTAGCGTTATCCTGAAAAGGTTTCTGGATGTGATGGGATTTGAGATGCTGCTGCAAGAATGAAGAGGTCGCGGAAATGTGGGGTGGGGGCATCCCAGGTAGAGGGTGCCTCCTGGGCAATGCAGGGAACACGAGGGTGCTGGGCAATTAATCAAGCCTTGGGCACAAGCGTAGGCAGTCACCCCCAATTCAAAGCCAGTTGAAAATGCAGAGAAGAGAGGAGGGTCAGTGTGTGGGTGTCTTGATCAAACCCTTGAGCGGCAAGGGCAAGGACCAGGGTCAGGGTCAGAGGTAGAGGGCCTGAGTGAAGGCAACCCAGACTGAGTCCTTCCCTGAGCGCCCAGGTTTCCTGACAGCTGTTAAGAGAGGTGAGAAAGGGTTAACTGTGCCCCTCCACCGCCCCAAATGCTTCCTGTGTTTGAAATCCTTCAGGTCTCTACAAACCCTCTGGCCCCTAGCCAGGCGGGCATTGTCCGGGGAGCGGTGGTGGTTGTCAGAGAGGCCGCGCAGCCTTTGTTGTGGGGCCACCTCGGGGTTCCCGCTCGCGCTCGGGCCGGGGCTGCAGAGTGCGTGCCGGGAGGGGGGCGGTGCGGGAGGCTCGCTCCCTCTCCCTCTTCCTGCCACCCCCCCAGCCCTCCCGATGACCACATGACCAAGTGGGCTAGCGGCCAAGCCACAAGCTACAAAATGCAGCCCCTGGAGTGAGCGGGGAGCATTCTCGCTGGCAGCCGGGGCCACTGGCAGTTGCAGCCGCGGCCGAGCAGCCAGCCGCTAGGAAAGAGCTCACCATTGCCGCCCCGGGAGCCGCCGAGGCCAGCTTCGCGGCGCTGCCCCGCGGCGGGAGAGGAGGCTGCAGGAGAGCGGAGGCGGCCAGCGGGAGCGGCGGGGCTCAGCGCGCACACTCAGCAGCCCAGGAGCCCCGCGACCTCCGCGCCCGCACGCGCCAGCCGCGGCTCGCGCGTTTCTTGGCCTCCGGGCGTCCGACCTCTCCTCCCTCTCCTCCCTCCCGCCGGCTAGCCGGGGCCGGAGGAGCAGCATGAATCTGCGGCTCTGCGTGCAGGCGCTCCTGCTGCTCTGGCTCTCCTTGACCGCGGTGTGTGGAGGTGAGTGCGCGCCCTCCGGCTCGCCTGGGCTACAGCCGGCGCGCTCCCTTCCCTCCGCCCCTCTCGCACTTCTCCCCGCCTCCCGGGGAGCCCGGCGCGAGCCTTGCAGGAGCAGCCACGTGCCGGCCCGCGCCAGGCAGCAGATTGGCAGGGCGCCCCGGGCCATGGGGCGGCTGGCCGCAAGGACCGCTTCTTCTGCGAGGCTCGACTCGGCCTCTGGCATCACCTGCCTGTCACCTTGTCTCTCTTAACCGCGGCTCGTAGTCCCGGGAGCGCAGGACCACAGGTGTGCCCCATGTGTCCTGCGCCCTGCACCCTGCGTGATGGGGGTGGAGGCGGGGGGCATGCCCGCTCCACTCGTGGATCAATGGAAGGAACTAACCACAGCCGGGTGGGCTGGGCTCCCACGCTGAACGTCTTCTGGTCCTTGAAGGCTGGGAGCCTCCCGCTGGTCCAGGGGCGCCGGAGACCAGGGATGATGTGCCAACATGCAGACGTGACACTTGTTGCATAGGCAGCAGTGCGAAGAGGGGGTGGCGGCATGGAGCCCAGCTGTTGCTCCTTTCTGCCTGAGTGTGGGAGCAGAGGCAGCCTCCCTCAGGCGGGGCCGGGCTCAGCCAGGCTGGGCTGGTCTTCTCCTCCCTCACCCCAGGTCCTGGCTGCTCTCCTCATCCCACCCCAGAGACTTGGTTCTCTCACATCCTGGCTCCAGCAGTCCTTTCTGTCCCAGGCCTCGGCATGCTTCACCTTAGTCTCCCTGTCGCCAGGCACCAAGGGAGGGAGCACAGCACCTGACCTGACCCCTCCCTGCAGCTCAGGAAAGGGGAGTCCTTTTGCCCTTACCTGGCAATACTTGGCACTAGCGCCCATGTCCGCCCCTAGCCTGGTCCCCACCCATGCCCAGCAGCCCCATCCCAGGCTGCCTGTCCTCTGTGTGTCAATGTCTCCTGGGGCTGCCAGCTCCCACCTCCAGCTGCCACAGTCCTATGATCTGGCTGTCATTGCTGCCTGCCTGGCACCACACAAGGGGAAGGCCAAGACCAGGTGGACTAACGCCAGGGCCATGGCTAGAGCCACAGGGAGGTGGGAGCAGAAAGAAGGAGAATGCAAGACAGAGGTTCCTAGGGCAAGAGGACAGGACCCTACATGGTCCCAAATCTTCCAGAACTGAAGAATGGCATGCATCCCAGGAGCCTCCGAGGGGCCCAGCTCGCTCTGCCTGCTGTGGCCCTGGGAGCACTGCCTGGCTTCTCAGAAAGGCGCAGTGCTTGTGATTGGCACCTCCTGCCTACAGGTAGCTGGCTGGCCAGTGATCTCTCTCAAGACCTGAGCACAAAGTCAGCCACCACCACAGTAAGAAGTAGGCAGGCTTCTTCTACAGAAACTCCTGCCAGGCAGGAAACAGAGGGAGGAAAAGATATGAATGAAAGATACAAATGATACATCAGACAGCCTGTCCTCAGACAGCCTACCATCTGGTGTGGTTGGCAAGGCACGATGCTTGCACAATACTACCTCAGGCAAATAGTCCAGGGTGGTGCCTTCAGGGAAGAAAAAGGCTGGGTGCAGAGAGAGTGTTTCAGAGGAAGGTGGGGATTCCAGGTCTGCACACTTGGTGCTTCCCCCAGAGGCTGTGGGGAGAACCCTGGCCGCTAGACAGCCATACAGACAGACCCTCCTGGGGTCTAGCCATTGGGACAGTACTAGCAAAGGGGAGAGCCGGTTTCAAGGGAAGGGAAATAGGTCAGATTGCCAGAACTCCATGCGGCTGGTCCAGAGCCTGCCACTTCGTGCTTGAATTTCCCCGTCTTCATTAGGTCATCTGTCCACTCCGATTTGGGTAAATTCGTTGTCTTCACATTTTGCTCAAGCCTGGTGCTGGAAACGTTTGGGGCTCCCATTGCCTCCTCTACTCCCTGACTTCTCCTGGAGCCAAGGAGGGGCACATCCCCAGAGGTGGCCACCAGCTAAGGATCCAGATACACATGTCCTGCTCCCACTGCCTCCTGTCCTTGGTTAGAAGCAGGCATCCCAGAACCACTTTGTCCTTGGCTCAGACTGGCATGCTGTCCCCAGGCAGAGTCCCCGGTCAAAGTTCCAGCCCCAAAACCACATTTCCTCCTCTCCACACTCTGTCCTGACTTGGAATGCCCACTCCCCCACCCCTCTTCAAGCTACTTCTCATCACCCTGCTACCACTGCATACGCTCCTGCACTGCCTCCTAACCTGGGATACACTTGCTCTTCTGAATCTGAGAACTCCCGGGTCAGGGCCAAGTGTCCCTCAGTCTCTGAGCACCTTTCTTTTTCCCCTCCTCCTCCCCCTTCCCAGGCCCAGCTCAAAGCCTGCAGTCATGGTGTGAGTGTGAGGAGAACCTACTGTACCCCTCCTGCTCAGGGAGGGGACATCTCCCCTCCATCCCCAGTCCTCAGCACTAAGTACCTGTGTAACCTGAGCCAGGCCTCTCTGGCAAAGAACGAAGGCAAGGGAAACAGAGGGCCAGGCTGCCAGACAGAGCATGATGTATCCCAGGGCAGCAAAACTGGCACTGGAGACAGCACAGGGCCTTGGAGAAGGCAACTGGGATGGGGGCAGGGGGCTGCGCAGACAAAGAGACACACGCAGGACCACAGAGCAGTGGAGGGGCATTTAAGAGCACACATTTGGGCTTTTAAAGTCATCCTAAGACAGGCCAGACTGAGAGAGGAAAAACAGGTGCGTCATTTCTGGTGAGGCGGGCATGTTCCTGAAAAGTCACACGTACCTCTGTGTGCGTTGGCAGGGTTGGAGTTCAGATTGCTTGAAAGTCAAATCCTGTCCTCCCCCAACTGCGGTTCTCAGCGTGGAGATTCTCTAGCTTCGTGTGGCTGATGGTGCTTCAGCAGGCAATGGCTCCAACTGCTCTAGGCTGGAGATTGTTTGGGGGATTGCTCCAGCCTCCTTTTATGTAGCAAATGAGCTGGAAGAAAATATTTAAGTGCATTAGGGGTGACCTCCATTTCTAAAGGGAAATTCTTTGGTACAGTCAGGACCTCTGCAGTGATGAGAATCAATAGCCTCTAATTTTCTCCTTTGGACAGCATAAAGCCAGGGTTTCAGGCGTCAGCTTATCTGATAGTGAGCCAGACTCAGAATCAAAAGTAGGAAACAGGTGGGTGATGGGCTCAGAGTGCGGGAGGAACCTGCAGAGCTTCGTGATGCTGAGGACAATGAGTCCCCCACGCAATGGGAGGGATGCAAGAGGCCCGGGGCTGCTGGGTGGCTGCTCTCCAGGGCCTGGCTGGGGGCTTGGTCGACACAGAGTGGCTCTTCTCTGCAGACCCAGAGTCTAGACATCTTCCTGGCCAGAGTCGGAGCCACCAACCCTGCTCCCCATCCTGAAATACAGCCTCTAGCCCTCCCTTTCTGACTGCCACAGACACTCCCAATCTTGGGTGCTGGGCACATGGAGATGATGCCCTCCCCCTCCTGGCACCATGCCTCTTTTCTCCATGCCTGCCACCCCCTGAGCTACAACGGCCTGGGCCACTGCTTCATCCCTTCTGCACCCCCATCAGTTGAAGGTGCAAAAGTGAGAGCCAAGCGTTGACTTGGTTCACTTCACGAGGCCCCTGGGGTCCTACCCCTGTGCCTTATCAGCATCATTCAGACCCACTCTCAGTGATCAGGGTGTGCCTTGAGGGGACCCCAGCACTCAGGGCAGAGGCTGAAGCAGTTGCAGTAGGGGGCTTAGTGAAGGTCTTTTCCTCCCCTCTCTCTCCAGCCCCAGCCCCCTCATAGATGGTGCCAAGAGGGTAGCTCTATGACAGACAGAAGCAGCCTCCTGGTTCCATCTGTACCTATTGCTCCTAAGTGCCAAGATCATTATTCTTTTAATTCTCAAAGGTTATGAATTTCAGGGATAAGTTGGCATGGAAGTGTGGCTAGTTAACTAAATGACCCAAGTCAACAGTGGGGGTCCTCACGGGCCTGGTGATTTTTTCGGGGGGGAAGGGGGAAAGGAGGGTGCAGGCTTGGAGAATATGTGTCTGGGGGGGTGGTGATAGGTGGGTATGTCTGGGTGTGAGTAGGGAGAACTGCAGGCCCAGAGGCCTGGAGGAAGAGGGCCGTAAGGCCAGATCTGCCTACTTTTGGCCCAAGAGGAGGATAAACACTTGGAAATCGTGTGCAAGCGGAGGAGGACTCACAAGAGCCAAGGAGCCAAGGAAGGAACAGAGCGTGGGGATGTTGGAGGCAGAGGCGGAGGGGAAGGGGGAGCTGCCAGGGGTATGACTGCAGTGTGAGCAGCCAATGGGAGGCTACATGGAAACTGTGAGCCAATGGTGGGAATTCCTGGGTAGATGGCAATGGGGCTCGAGGGACAGGGGTACAGATGCAGGCAAAGCAGATGGTGTGCAGTGGGAGAGAGACTGCTATTCATTATCTCTGGCCTCAGATGCTGTATCTGCTCAGGCCTGTACTGGGCATGGCACAAGTACCCTGCCTGGCTGCCTCTTCCCCGGCACCATCTCAACTCTGCACACTGCCGGCTGCCACCAGCAGCTTGGCTTCCCTGCATGGACTGCAGGCTTCATGAGAGTCGGCCTGCATACCTTTTCCCTCACTGCACCCAAGGGTACCCTGCACCACTTGGATTCCATTGTCAGGGCTCAGTCTGGTGTCAGGAGGCTTCTCCTCTAAGCCAGATGTAGACAGAGTAAAGAGAAGCCCCAGAGTGCAGAAGAGAAGCCAGCGGGGCTTGAGATGGAAGGAATTTATAGGAGACACAGGATGCAGGGAGTGGTCTGGGAATGTCAGGAGGTAGGGCATTGGTGGGAGGTGCCAACTGCAACAACCCACCCCCTCCTCGTGCGCAGACATGCTGCTGAAGGTGACCATTCTCTCATTTGTTCATTCATTCCTGCGAGATTTGTGGATCTCTAAATCTGGTCTCAGGTCTCTAAATCTGGTCACAGCGTGAGGCAGGCTGAGTCAGAGACCCCGCCCCCTTAACCCACCTGGCCCAGTCCCATCCACTGAGAAGACCTCTAGCCCTAGAGATGCCTAACCACCTATGAGATGCCCAGGGTGAGATATGCGCTCCCTAGTACTCAAAAGTGGGTCATCCTGCATATCAAAGGGCGTAGGAGTACAATGACGTGATGTTCTGGATTTGCTTTAAAATACTGCAGTCAAGGAAAAAAAGAAAAGGGATAATAAAGCATATGTGACTCCATCTGGATAACTGTTGAATCCGGGTGATGGGTACGTGGTGGGGGGTGTCATTGTAATGTCATATGTCTGAAATGTTTGAAGTGTACCAGTTGCGGGGGTGCCATGGGGATTGCTGCCTCCCGCCCCCCAGCCAAGTATAGGCGTGATGCCCCGAAGTGCACACCCCGCAATGACGTTCCAAAGAAAGGACCCACTTGTGCCTGTCAGAAACATGACAGAACTGTCCAAAGGACATAAAATCAGCTACAGGACAGTGCAGAAATGGCAAATTTTCCCTCAAGATGCGAAAGAAAAACCAAAGAAAATCTACAGGGAGCACCGCTGCATGGACAGACTGCTCCTCCCTCGGGCCAACACCCTTCCTCACTAACAGGCTTTCTTCTCTCTGCAGGGCCCCTGATGCCGCTTCCCGATGGGAATGGTCTGGAAGAGGGCAATGTCCGCCACCTGGTGCAGCCCAGAGGGTCGAGGAACGGGCCAGGGCCCTGGCAAGGAGGTCGGAGGAAATTCCGCCGCCAGCGGCCCCGCCTCTCCCATAAGGGCCCCATGCCTTTCTGAAGCAGGTACTTGAGCCTCTGGTCAGTAGACAGTGCTAAAGCGGAGGGAGGGAGAGGGACAGTCTAGAAGCCGGGTGACCCTGCCGCTCATCACTGGCCAGACACATCCACCAAGCAGTCCTGGCACCACATACATGGGGGCTTAGAGCTGGAAAGGGAGCTTATGGGGCAGCTGTCTAGCCCCTTTATTTTACAGATGGTCTTCTCCGAGGCCCAGAGAGGGGCTTGATACTTGGGGCCAGTCTCCCTTACACCCTGCTGCCTGGGGTTGGGGAGGCTGGCCTGCCTGGAGATTCTAGATATCCTGGTGGACCTTAACGGCTGGGGAGGGTGCCCAGGGAAAACCTACAGATAGATGCCCAGTAGACTCTCACCAGAGTTGGGGAAGGAGGCGGAGAGCTTTAGGGCCTCAGCGGCAGAGAACAGGAGGACAATTGTGGCTGGGGTTGCCTGGAGGTGTGAGAGGGAAGGAAGAACCAAGGTGGCAGCAGAGAGAGCAGAGCCGGAGCCTGCCCCTTGCCTGGACTGCTGGCTGTACCATTGCAATGGGGACAGGCAGGCATCAGCTCAGGGGCCTTGGGCTGGAGGTTTGGGTTGAGCGGGGTGGGAGGGGAGAGAGAAGGCGGTCTCCTCTCCTTTCCTGGGGAGTTTCTTTGGCCTAGGATATGTTCATGACTTCTCTCTTGTCATTTTTGCCTCCTTAGGACTGAAGGGGCCCCCAAGTGCCCACGCTCTGCGTTTCTGTCTCCTCCATAGATTGGTCTGCTTCTCTGGAGGCCTCACGTCCATTCAGCTCTCACCTCGCACCTGTTGTAGCCACCAATGGGCCGGGCTCTTCTCACCTGCTTGCTTCCCCCAGTGGCGTGCTCCTGGCTGTAGTCTGGATGATTCCCTTTCTCTCTCAAGGATCCGTCCAATCCAACTTCCTGACCCCTCCCTGGACTGACTTTGGAGATCCAACCCCAGAAGGTCCCCTTCTTCTCCAGGTCCCCTCTGCTCTAGTCCCTGCCTGTCTCATCTTGTTCCTTCCTCGTGTCCGCCCTGGGCATGGGGAGAAAACATTCCCCTCTGTGGGCTCCAGCAGATCCCTTGTTTTCCTGGTCAGTTGGACGCCTCACCAGGCCTCCAGGAAGGAGTGCAGAGAAGAGCAATGAGACTAGGTAGAGGTGCTGGCTGCAGGGATCCAGGCAGGGCACATTGCGTGCACGGAAGTGTGGGGGCGGGAGCTCTGCTGAAGCGGGTGGAGCATCGGTGTTTGCTCAGTTAAGGAAGAGGTAAAGGAGAGGGGTCTGTGAAGTCCTTTGCCACTTCTCTTGCCTTACTGTATCTCCCAATACTCCCTTCTCCCTGCTCCTCCACCCCATCCCCAGCTAGGCCAAGCTCCAGGTCAGGAGGGGAGGGTGCTGGGCCTGACATGGCTCTATACCCTCCCAGGGGTAAAAGCCAAGCAAGAGGTTGTTTTTGCCAAGAATCACAGAAGATATGCTCTGAAAGGACCCTTGGAGATGACTTAGCCTTCTTAGGCAAACGCCTGCAAAAACAGAAGCCTGGAGAGGTGGGTGACCTGCTCAGAGTCACTGCAGAGCTGGGTTGGGGACCAGGTCTCCCATCTCCTGCTCTATGATGTCCTCTTCCCTCTTGATGATGTCTTTTCAAAGCAAATGAAGTGCCTTTTCCCGAGGCTGGGGCTGTGGGTGGCTGGGAGGGGAAGGGAAGGGAGAGGCCAGCTGGCTGTGAACTGCCCTGTCGTGGGGCTGGAGCTGCTCCCACCTCCCTGACCTTCCCCTGCCTCTCAGTTCCCCCAGCTGGGCTGGAAGGTTCCATAACTGGCCAGCTGCCCCCATTCTGGCAGCTTTCCCAGACCCAGGGTACTCTAAAAGGGGCGGCTCAGACACTGAGACTACTGGTCGACCCCCGACGGTGGTTCTCAGGAGCCTGAGGTGGTTTTCAATCATTGGACTCCATGGCCTTCCCTTCGTGTTGACCAGACCTTCCTTCCAGGGCTTTTCCTCTGGGGGAGGTGGAGAGGGGAGAAGAAGGAAGGAGAGGCAGGAGGAAGAAAAGAAGGCAAAGGAAGGAAAGAAAGATGGGAGGAAGAGCAGCTGGAATAGCACTCTCTCCCTGGGAGGCCCCAGCTTCCGTGAGGGGCCTTCACCAGCCATTCTCTAGAAGAAGCTTTCTCGCCTTTTGCCTGAGGAGGCTTCCCGGAAGGGAGAAAGGGAAGACAAGAGCCTGATGCCCAACTTTGTGTGTGGGGGGATGGGGGGGTCAGGGCCCCCCAAGTCCCACAATAACCCCAATGTTTGCCTATTCGCCTCCCCCAAGCCCCTTTACCTCTGCTGCTGCTAACGCTGCTGCTGCTGCTGCTTAAAGGCTCACCCTGGGGAGCCAGGCTGGGCACCAGCCTTCCCTACTCCCCTCACAGTTGGCGTGGGGACTGGTCGGTGTCCAGAAAGTCTCTTCTGCCACTGACGCCCCCATCAGGGACTGGGCATTCTTTCTTTCCTCCTTTCTGCATCTCCTGCCTCATCAGCCTGCCATGACCTGCACCCAAGCCAAGCCCCTTGGGGAAAGGGACAAAGGTGGGGACAGACGATGGGAGCGGGTGGGCTGGAGGGAGTTGTCTTATTTAAAGTGGTTGTTTATGATTCTTATACTAATTTATACAAAGATATTAAGGCCCTGTCCATTAAGAAATTGTTCCCTTCCCCTGGTTCAATGTGTTTGTAAAGATTGTTCTATGTAAATATGTCTTTATAATAAACAGTTCAAAGCTGACAGTTCGACCTTACTCTTAGAGGTCATGTTCAGGAGGGGCGTTCCTTTCCCCTGGGGGCCACGGCCGTCCCTGTGCTCACATATTGCATGTGCAGGGAGGTAAGTGCCTGCATCCCAAATCGGTTCTAGGTCAACTGGCCTCAAACTGATTTGCCACGAGCTCACACAATGAGTCCCTAAGCTTAATGACCAGTTCACATAAAATCCAGCCCACTTTTAGGTTTTGCTGGCATCTGTTTGGGTGTCCCAATTTTTTTGGCAGTGTCAATGGAAGAATTTTTCAAAAGCAATTTATTCAAGAACATGCTGATTAAATGCAGGATTGCTACTAAAAACTGTTTTGTATCCTTGGTGGGTGCCTTTTCTGTTTTATCTACTTTGGGACACTTTCAGGATTTTTTGGCCAGTTGGCCTTTCCTGAAAATGTTATGTTTTCAGCGATAAGTACATTTGATAATGACTTGATTTGTATCATTTTATGTTTCACAAAGTAGACTTGCCTGATGAATGAGATAGCCTGAAAAATAAAATGCAAAGAGTTCAATATAATTCTGCCCCATCTGTCTCGCTTCATGCTTGTTGTCAAAATGCCAATATCTTGCAGAACAGAAAGGAACACTGGGTACATGCTAATTTGGTTAATAAACCCATTAGGTCCACACAGGCATACACAACACAGAGCAAAACTCAGCGAGAAGCCGAGAGGAGGGATCAAAAGAGCTTCATTTGATAAATCCCATGGGAAATCTCATAGCTTTGACAAGTATTTAGTGCTAGAAATACACAATTTTAAAGAAAGGGTCTTTAGGCAAACTCCCTAAAATGTCATAAAACTGCTCAATAGGACGGAAGATAGAAAAAGTCATCCACATACTTACCTGGCAGGGGAGATACCATGATCACGAAGGTGGTTTTCCCAGGGCGAGGCTTATCCATTGCACTCCGGATGTGCTGACCCCTGCGATTTTCCCAAATGTGGGAAACTTGACTGCCTACTTTGTGGTAGTGGGGGGATTGCGTTTGCACTTTCCCCTGAATTAAAAAAGAAAGAAAGAAAAAGTCACCCATGAGCCTACAAAACCATCTCATCATTGACAAAATGCTGCAAGTTGTGACAGTGATTTAAAAATGCAATGTTACTGCTGGGTTCGGTGGCTCACACCTATAATCCCCAGCACTTTGGGAGGTCAAGGCAGGCAGATCACTTGAGGTCAGGAGTTCGACACCAGCCTGGCCAACATGGTGAAACTCTGTTTCTACTAAAAATACAAAAATTAACTGGGCATGGTGGTGAGCACCTGTAATACCAGCTACTCGGAGGCTGAGGCAGGAGAATCACCTGAACCCGGGAGGCGGAGGTTCCAGTGAGTCAAGACTGTGCCACTGCACGCCAGCCTGGGTGACAGAGCCAGACTCAGTCTCAAAAAAAAAAGAAAAAGAAAAAGTGATGTTACTTTGGAAGTGCCTCTTAGGAAAACTGGTGTAAAATGCCTTCTTTAAAAATTACTAGTTTGGCTTTTAGGCAAACAGGACATCAGAGGAACTGGTTTTAGGCAGAGGTTTCAGGTGAGCTGGCTTTATGCCGATTGGTCTGTAACCTCCCTAATCATCCCCAAAGTTCTAATTTCACATCAAACCAAGGAGAAAGGGGTGTGGTGGGAGCAAGACAACTTAACACTGACCCGTAAGTGTATAGTGAATTAGATAAGTGAATCTAGAATCTGGTCTTCAAATTCTAGAATGCAAACTCTTTCTACAGTACTACGGAAGGTCCCCTAACCAGAAAGAATTAGGTACAAAATGTGTTTGATTTTTTTTTTCTTAGACAAGAGTCTCACTGTCACCTCTGCCCAAAACCAGTTCCTCTGGTGACCAGGCTGGAGGGCAGTGGAGAAATCTCAGCTCACTGCAACCTCTGCCTCCCAGGTTCAAAGGATTCTCCTGCTCAGCCTCCCAAGTAGCTGAGATTACACGCACCTGCCACCACGCCTGGCTAATATTTGTATTTTTGGTTTTCTTAGTAGAGACAGGGTTTCACCGTGTTAGCCAGGCTAGTTTCAAACTCCTGACCTCAAGTAATCCACCCACCTTGGCCTCCCAAAGTGCTGAGATTACAAGCACAAGCCACCGTACCCGGCCGTGTTTGATATTCTTAGTAAGTGCAATACGAATTTGCAGTACAAGATGGTGTAGTGTAGGCTGGGGGGATCAGCGAAAGCAAATAGAGGCTGAGTGACTAAAACAGGCCCTGGAAGGCACAATAGCATTCGGTTAAGTTGGTGGAAGGATGATGGGCAGTGACGGCAGGGACAAGGAAGGGGGAGCAGCCACCAGGTCCATGGAACATATGTAGTCAACTAACTGGATGCTACTGGGTGGATGCCAGTGTGACCTCCTTGGGGCAAGGGATAAGGAAAAGTAAAGTTGTTGTCTTCTGTAAAGATAATTAGAACTCAGACCAAAGGAAGGCAGGACATATGATACGCGTTTCTAGCCTTTGGAGATACCTTGACCGAATAAATACAACAGAAGCAGAGTAGGGCATTGTTTTTCAAAATGCAGAGCTTAGGAAAAGAAATAGGAATTCATTTGACTGATTGTTTTCTGGACTGGAGGTCCCGGACTGAGGTTGATGGGTGGGGGCAGAGAACCTGAAAAACAACAGTCTTTCAAATCCATCCGAAATTAGGCAGACTCTGAAATTACAGAGATTAGGGAAGCAAACAGACTCAGACCACACACAGCTTCTCAGGACCCCAGGTGCTGTGTAAAACGAGCCATAACTGCTTAGAAAGCTAAGCTTTCAGACACTCCTGTAGGCCTGGCTGGCTTGGTACCCCAAGCAGGGGCTGGGCTCCTCCACGTTGAGGGAACCACGAGGCCTGGACTGAGCAGCCATTCTAAGGTCCTTATAGTACTTCGATTTTTCAAGCCTAAAGGTTATTCAACTGAAATTTCTCAATCCAAAGTTTCTTTCTGACCAGAGTGAACCTGTGCCAGCTAACTGCCAAAGGAGATGGCAGAGACTTACTCAATACCTTCCTCTCCCGGCTTGACAAGGGCCGCTGACTCAGCCAGCATTTCTCGGTAGCTCTCGGAAGGAAGGCTTCTCTAGGACTCCTTTGAAAATCCAGCTTTTCCTACGAAGCGGCCAGTGCTCAGAGGAGCCAGCAAGGGACTCCCCTTGCCGCTGTCTTGGACTTCAGTCAAAGGCCCGAGCTGCATCCAGGACACTTCCTTGAATGTTTCAAATCAGCAGCCAGCAGACTTTTTCTGTAAAGAGCCAGATAGTTTTTTCGACTTTTTGAGCCATACAGTCTCTATCCCAACTCAAACCTCTTTGAGTTTGATGCTGCCACCTACTTTATAGCACTGTGGTCGGGATTGACTGTGATGACGCAGGTAACAGTTTCCGCACAGGCAAAACAGCCATACACAATACATACACCAGTGGACATAACCGTGATCCAAAAAGCTTTGTAAAAGCAGGTGGAGGCCTGGCGTGGTGGCTCACACCTGTAATCCCAGCACTTTGGGAGGCCGAGGTGGGTGAATCACAAGGTCAGGAGTTTGAGACCTGCCTGGCCGAAATGGTGAAACCCCATCTTTACTAAAATAATAATTTTAAAAAACTAGCTGGGCGTAGTGGTAGGCGCCTGTAATCCCAGCCACTTGGGAGGCTGAGGCAGGAGAATTGCTTGAACCTGGGAGGCGGAGGTTGCAGTGAGCCGAGATTGCGCCACTGCACTCCAGCCCAGGTGACAGGCCATACTTTGCCCAGCCCTGTGTCAAGTAACAGCAAGCCCTTCAACTCAGCCCCGGACCCTTTGCCTGGAGCCCAAGGGAAAGACTTACATTCCGCAGCAAGGTGTAGAATTAAGGGATTTCATACACTGGTTACGTGATGGCCTCTGATAATAACCATACTAACAAACTGATTTCAGTGGAACGGGAAGTCTGGAGTCAGATCACGCTTCAAATCCTGGCACCACTATTTACTCACCTGTGTGACCTTGTTTTGGCTTTGGGCAGAATGCTGCTGCCCACTTCATAGCACTGTGGTCAGGACTGACCACAATGCTGCAGGTAACGCGTTTGGCACAGTGCCCGGCCCACGTTACAAGTGTTACGAGCTTACTAAGTGGGAGCTATTATTATCTCTGCTAAGCCTCATTCTAGCCCTGAGAACTGGACAGGGCAGCCATCATTATCCCTAATTTATACATAGAAAATCAAGTCCATGGAGGTGAGGTCACTTGTTCAAATTCACAGAGCCATTCGTGGGTGAGTAGAGCCTCAAACCTGGGTCTGTACCCAGCTAAGGTCAGCTGCTGCTATGGTTCGAATGCATCCTTCAAATTCATATTTTGGAAACTTAATCCCCAAATTCATATGGTTGATGGTATCTGAGGTGGGGCCATTGGTAGGTAATTAAAATTTAAAAAGGTCATCAGGATGGTGCTGCCATATGGAAATGGTGGCTTTACAAGAAGAGGAAGAGACATGAGCTGGTACACTCTTGTCCTCCTACTATATGATGCCATTCTACCACGTTATGTTTTAGCAAGAAGACCCTCACCAGATGCCAGTGCCATGTGCTTGGACTTCCCAGCCTCCAGAGCTGCGAGCTGAATAAAGATTTTTTTTTTGTTTGTAAGTAACTCAGTCTGCGGCTACAGAAAACAAACTAACCACTTCCTTGCTCCTGCCAATGGTCCTCTTTCCCACCATGAGCATGCCTCAGCCACTGGAAACTTCCAGTCTCCCAGATAACCTATAGGGACTCCCCAGGGACAGATTAGGTCCTCAGCATTCTTCCTTGTAGAAGCTTAGCTTGGGCGGCAGCCCAGGAGGCCTCTCCAAAGGTGTTAAGTGCTCACCATTAGCACCTGATCTGTCTGGAATTGTGGAGCCAGGCACCTGCTCCAGGAGACCTGCCTGGCCATTGGGGTTCCTTTCTGCACAAGGCCAGGGCCCCAGAAACCTGAGTTCCAGTCCTGAATCTGCTTCTGCCCAGGGCTTGCTAGGTAGCTTAGCAAAGCCTTTCCTTTTGGCCCTTTCTGGGCCTCAGCCTACTCACCTACCCAGGACACCTGAGTGGGTATATATGAAGCACCTGCTTGTGAATAAAACTTAGTCGGGGTCCTAGCTAACAGTGGGAGGTGATTCAGGCTGCCCTCCGGAGGCACTTCAGGACCTGACCCAGGGACCCGTAGGGAGGAGCTCTGAGAGGAGAATTGGGCATATGGCAGGAAAATGAGAACCTAAGCCAGTGAGGAAGTCCACAGCTGGGTTACGTGGGTTACACGAGCTTCCCATAACCTCAGGGGCTGCTGGAACCTCCATTCCATACTTCCCCCATTGCTCAAATTAAATGCTTTCTGATCTTCCCTGAGTGTTAAAAAAATTGGCACACTGCTGCTGAGCTAGCCTAGTGGTGTGAAACTTGGGTTCTGAGCTCTGGATCCTAACCCCAGCTTGGCCAGTAACTGGCTGTTTGACTCCAGGCAGGTCTGTTCATCTATTAGGGTCCTAGTTCTCCCTCATCTATTTTCATAGGATGACAATCTCTGCTTTCCCTTAAACACATAGAATCATAGAAGGACATGAGCCTGAGAGGTCGCCCAGTACCCTAAGCCCTGTCATTTTTACAAATGAAGAAAATGACACTCAGAAAGGGAAAGTGATCTCTTAAAGGAACATAGCTGGATGGTCCTAGCAGACTCATACAGAGCACTTCTCATGTGCCAAGCACTGTTGGAGGAACTTCACCTGTCCTGACTTATTTAGTCCCCTTCACAGTCCCATTTTATAGGTGGGGAAATTGAGGGACTGAGAGGTTATGCCATTAGTCTAAGGATCTTCTGTGGTATGTGCAAACGAACTGAGAGAGACAAGGTGGCATTGCTTTAAAGGAAGGCAAAGGTACTGCTGAAATGCCAAGCATTCCCTCCAGGGCTGCAGTCACTTCTCGTCTGTAGGGGAGGGGCTTTGGCACCCTCAGTCCCAGGGCAACAGAACTGCTTGTGACTTCA